GTAACAATGGAATTGTTAAGAGAAAGCGACGTGCAAGACGCAGATGCAGTTTTTTTCGTTTTTGCGGGAAATCGAACATATTTTTAGACCCATCTAAAAATTCTCTAATTAGTCTGGAAACAAGGGGACCCAATTCTTGCATTCTGTGAAAACGGGTAAGGTTTACTGTAACGTAATAATCTTTATCTTAGTTATCGTTACTTTTGCCCAAGCAACGCCGGGCCCACCTGCTAGTTTTCTTATATTTTCATCAAAGAAAACCCATTTTACAAATAAAATTACAAAAATACTGACGGCTAGAACGGATTAATTGTATTTGCATTAATTTCTATGGGAAAAATTGCTTCGGTTAACGAACGGACTCATGGAACGGATTACATTCGTTAACTGGGGTTCCACTGTCGTAACTGTAACCATATCCATATAGTGTTGTTATAAACTCTATATCATATCCATACGGCCATATTACATTCCATAAGAAAAGTTTGCATCTATTAAACTTTTACAGTAGAGATACAGAGAATTGGTTAGTTACACTTGTGCCAAGCCACCATCAGTTGATACAATTGGAAGTCTGAAGCTGGAAACAACTGATGAAAAGTAATGAACTGGGTCAAAAGTAACTTTTAACCAACTCATGTTACTTTTTATATTATTCAAAAGTAAAAATAATAAATTTCATTTTTACTTTATTATTATAGTTGTTAAACTTTTTCTATCAATTCTAAATATTATAAATTCAAAAAATTTTAACATATAATTCAATATCTGATTGATTAATATTTGTTGTATTTTATTATTTGTAATTTTTATCATCATTCTAAACATTACATACCTTTATCAGCAGTTTCTAAGAATTTGAGCTCAGTTCCTTTTTCTTCTGCAACTACATCATCAGTTGGTAATTCATTTTCACTATCAGTAAGTGGACGCATATTTTTTTTAGCTCTTATGCACAAATTGAAATCATCATCAGAATCAGAACAACTATTGGTATTTTTATCACTAGTTTTTAAAATATCATTTGTTTGCATTAAAACAGAATCTTCAGTATCTTCTAATGGTTCAGAATCATTTTGATTATCACTGTCGAAACAAACTGGCATTTTACCACTTTTCCATTGTTTCTTTTTTGTTCGTCTAGGATTGAACTCTTCATCAGAACTCATTGCATTTACATTAAAGAATTTTTCAAATACATAATGATAAAATTAATTTTTCATATCTGAAATAAAACAACAGAAATAAAAATTTTTAAACTCTATCCTATTATATTAAAAAATTACATTATGCTATGCAAATATTTATAAAGTATAAAATAAATGTAATGACACAAATTAAAAACTTGCAACTGTTGATTCCATCAATTACTTAATTCAACAGATCACTGTACAATTCAATATGTCAACATTTTATTTTCAAACATTTTTCAAGGCCTTTCACATCTCATTATCAATGTGTTCAATTTGGCAATGAGATGCGAAAGATCTTAAAAAGAATTTAATCAAAAATAAATATGTTGACTTCTGGAATTATGTAGAGATTTTTTGAATTAAATAAAACAAACTATATATGATAAATAAAATGCATTTGCAAAACATTACCTTAAACATTTTTATTTTTATAGAATATTTTCAATGGAATGTCACTTTAAATTATTATTTAATATGCAAATTATTAATTAACACATAAATCATAAATTTACAAAATAACAAAGAAAAATAATAATAATAATTTTATTTTATTTAAATTTAACTAATTTCATTTGTAGATAAATGATCAGTCTTTCATTTCTTATTTGATTATATATGTATCCCATGCTTAACAGGGGATTTGATTAAAGTGCAAATTAATTGCGCTAATTCCTTTATATATGCGGCAGAAGTTTTAATTTATCTTTACTTAACATAGACATCATATTTTGATTAATGCAATTTTGATATATGCAGTAGGATCAAGGGATAAATTAAAAGCTTATACTTACAAATTTTTTCATACATAATTCTGCTGTTAATTTTTAAGGAGTAACATAACATTTGCATGAAACTTAGACCACACAATTTGATACAGATAAATTATAAATGTCATCTCCAATATTCTATATTGTGTACAACATACACATACCGTATTTGTTATATGGAAACTCACCACATACACACACACACAAAACTATAAAAAATCATTTGAATTATCATAATTTTCAATAAATAGTTTTATAAATTACATACATACCTACAATATTTAAAAATAATAATAGTAATAATAATCTCTTATGGTAATTTGTCACAAAACATCATGACATTTTACTGCACAATTATACTTTGTCAAAAAAATGGACGTATTTACTATTAATTGTTTAATATACTTGTTTTGTGTGTTATTAATATAATAAAGCCTAATTATTTCTTATTCTGTTTTCTCTATGAAGAATTATATTAATACATTCATAATTGTAAATAGGGTTGCCAACTGTCCTCCGTTTCACCATATTATACATCCATCCTCTTTTTATCAATAATTCCCTCTTTTGAACACAATTTTAATTGTTTGTTTTTGTTTAACATTATCATCTCTAAAAATTTACCAGCAAATGACATTCCAATACTTTTATCTTCTTATTCTAAAACAACAAGTTTATCTAAATCACTCATTAGAATAACAGAAAGAGAAAGATACTACTATTAATCAAAGATGGACAAGCAAATAAAATTTAGGGACTCAATTAGGGTGGCATCATGCAACAGTTGGTAATGATTCTAACACTGAGTTTAAAACCCTACTTATTACCTTTTTAATGTTTTATAATTTACAGTTAGTTGACATTTATAACAAACTACTTTGTTATAAATGTCCTCCATTGTAAAATGTCTGTGTAATGTCCTTTGTTGCACAATATTCTTCTCTTTTATACAAAAAAGTTGGCAACTTTAATTGTAAGCATTTACAGCTTATTTCATAAATCTCAACTGGACTGTTAAAACTCTCAATAACAGGGACCAGTTTATTTATTTAGTGAAGAAAACAAATTCTTAGCAAATCTTTGACAAGATCTTTTAAAGTTCCAGAGCATCAACTAAGCACTATGCATTGCCTGTGAAATGATCTTTATGTTTCTTGATAGCATTTTGTACAAAATAATAACAACAACATACAAGTAATATATGTAAATAGCTAAACAATTGTTTAAATAAGTTATTGTTTATTGTATCTAAACATTTTCTACTTCATGAATTAGTTGTTTAACATGTTTTTGTATGTGAGACTTGAATCTTTTGATAACTAATTATAATGAATCAATAGTTTAAAATTTAAAATACATAAGGTAAATATGATTTTTATTTTAAATTATTATATAATTCCCTCGATATAATTCATATATTAAATTAGTAAAGCAAAAAAAAAGCGAGAAAAAATTGGAAGAGAAATTGTTTTATTGTTTTAGATCATCCGAAGTGATGACAATTGGACATTTGCACTTGTTTGTTTTTTTAATGTAATTGCTTATATAATGCGATTACGATTTGTGAAATGAGAATTACCTCTTTCAGTCAACGATGTGAAGCATAATTTGTACTTAATTTATTCTTATTCCGCATGTCAAATATACTTTTCTTCCTTAAAATTTTGCCGTCGATTGACTCTCTCCCATAATCCTTTGAGTAAGGACCCGGATTTTAGTTCTATATCATCACGCTAGATGTCTCGTACAATTTGAACATCGTTTGGTTGAAATAGTGCACGTATTTACGTCAATTTGACGTCATTTTCATATTTGTTCATTATAAAGACGAAAGACTGACGTCAAATTGACATAAACACGCGCAAAATTCGTAAACCAATAAATGTATTGTTTCTAAATTTATCGATGATAAGACGAAGACATCTCTGTGTAGATTTAAAACAAAATAATAATTAAAATACTGTATTAAATTTTTAATAAACGTTATTCTGGTATAAATAGTCTTCCTGTTTAAAATGTTTATAAATAAAAAATTACTCATGCAATATACATTTAGGAGCAATCAACAAATTGTAAATCGCTCCCAAATAAAAATCTTTTCATAGTAAGGAAACGTAATACTATTTATTTCATGAATGAATAATATATTAGTAAATGTCTACTATAACCATATAATATAAAATAATGTCTTTTTTACGATTAGGCAAGGATGTGGTACTCTGTTCATGTTCATACTAGGGTTTCTCATTTTCCGATCTCTTGCTTGTCCCGGGATTCCGGGATAAAAGTGAACTGTTTCCCGGGATAGAATTAATTATTTTTAAGGTATACAAAATATTTTGAAATCAAATGATATAACTATTTTTCATTTTTTAAAGTAATTTTAAAGTTCTGTAACATCCAAAATCATATTAATAATGCCGTGTAAGATATATAATAAAAATTACCTTTGAATTACGTAGAAATTTTCACAAATAGAAAAAAATTAATTAAAGTTTGCTGGAAACTGCATACAACAACAAAAAAAAAAAATGTTTTGAATTGAGTTAAAAATTAAAAAAAATGAACTTCTAATTTAGAAGGTAATTTTCATTTTTTAAATAAAATATAATACAAAATATTGTAAACTTTTATAAGATTTTAAAAAGCAAAGATGGTCAATACTCCGATCACTCACTCTAATTCTTATTTTAGTAATGAAAAGTCTTGCTATCGAGAATGCCCTTTCCGATTCAATTGATGTGATTGGAATTGTGTTTAATGCATTTAAGAGAAGACAGATGTTCCAGGTTTTGTTTTCGAGATTGTAGTACTTCTTTTGCTGTCTAGTAATCTTGATTTGTTTACCTCGGCTGCTTTAATAGTGGCATCAAGCTTATAGCTCGATAATTCGGCAATTCGTTTGCTTTAATAATCAGGTTTATGAAGAAAAACTTCATACTTGCAGACTTCGTACTCGTTTGTATCCTTGCCTAATTTGCACAACTTGGCGTTACGCAGTTATTGAAGCTACTGGGCATGGTTAAAAATTAAGACAGCATAAGCACAATTATTCCAGATACTACATGTACTGTACAGTAATACCTCGACTTATGCTACCCCGACTTACCTGAACCCGGAGTTACGCGATTTTCAAATCTTGTCGATTCGTCTTTTGTTTGAGCGCCACGCAACTCTTGATTACTCACTTCCCCCACACTATTGTTCAGCTTACATGTTCGGACTTGTCGCGCGGAATCGACACAGCTATAATTTATTTTGTGTTAGCTATATCTACGGAGACTTGAAAGACTATGTGGTGATTTCTTGTAACCGTGAATGAATCAAAAGACGAGATAAGATTAACGAGAACATTTGTTACCTTACATACACCCGACTTGGATTTTACACAAATTGCAAAATTATACCCCGACTTACGCGGTCATCGTTCGATCCCACCTATCGCGTAAGTTCGTGGTATTACTGTATAGAATTTCGAGAGTCATGCCACAAATAAGCTACGTATTGATTATTGACCATTTGTGACATGCCATAACGAGCAAAAATAAAAATATAAATATAAAAACTACTAGGTAGGTTTTAAATTAATAAATACAAATGTATTCTGACAGTGAATGAGTTAAATAATCGGATAAAAAAAAAAACCAAAAGTAATCTTTTAGATGTTCTTGACAGGCGATTTCGTTTAGGTGTGAGAAAAATCAAAATGATCTATAAGTATGGGTGAAAAATATTTCCATTTTTTTTTTTTTTTTTGCTTTGACTTTGTTTAAATTATTAAAAAGAAAACTATAGATGGTTAATTTGAACTTAAAACGTTAACTAGGACTTATTATACTGGATAAGTCCTAATAATAGATTGTTAACTGGGTTCTGAAAATTAAGTAAAGTCAGAAAAACAAACAAAAAAAAGTCTTTATTTATCATCTGAACACATACACGATATCTTTGTGTTCGGACCTGTTGGTCCCTCATCAGCAAGTTTACCATCGACAGTCTAAGAAATTTTCAATATAAAATTGTTACAAAAAATTATTTAAAAAAGAAACAAGAATTTCAGAAAAGTTAGGATCTTCGTCACAAAAAATGAACTAATTAATATATTATTATACATTTCTGTGTGCATATGTTTGAGTTATTTAACCCATATTATACAAATTAACATAAAAATAACTTAAAATTAAAGTAAATTTTTTTTATTTTCGGTCGCGTGTTTCCCTATCCCTATTTACTCATGTTAAAATGACCTCGTTTAACGCTGTTTCATTTAGCGCTTTGTCGTCTATGAACGCATCCCCCGCGTTAAGCGGGGTCTTACTGTATTATTATCTTGTAATCTTTTTAATAATTAATCTACATGTTTTATACTATATTTGGATATTTCTTATTATTTTAATTTATCTTCTAAGTATTTTTCCAGATTATAATATACATAGTTTTTAACGTCTATAAGTGGTCTATACTTAACTGGATTTTTGTGTTTTTACTCTTATATTGAATTTCGGTGTTCTGTTATCTGCTCTTTTTATATATTTGATGTCTTCTTCAGTTATTAATTGTTATATTTTTAAGTTTTCAAGTTTCTTGTCCAGAGATTTTGTTAGCTTTTTAATTGGATCCTTAACAAGTTGTTAGTAATTTCCTTCTTGGATCAATTCCTTGATGACTTCCATTTTTCTTTCGTTTTTCATAATTATTTGTTTTGATTTTCATCTTGTAATATTTCTAGATTAGACTATTATTAATTAAAAATGTTTTTACATTATTTAATTTAAATGTCTCTTATTATTTCTTACCTTATTTAGCGTTTTCTTGTTTAGTTTTTGGATTTTATAATTTTTTTGCATACCTGTTCTTATTTCTTCTCTTTTTTCCTTTCTTTCTTCTGAATTTGAACAAAAATTTTAAAAAATTAAGAAAACAAAGGTATTTAAATTTGAATTTTAACAAAATGGTTATTTATTATTTTTGTTGTAGGTATTTAAAGATAATCTCAAATGGCTGAACACCTGGTAAACACTGTTAAAAACAAGCAACTTCTATCAGAAGAGTTTTTAACTCTTCAAACAGCTGGGGAGAGTTACTTTGATGTCAGCTATAAATCTGATTCAGTACCTTTTATGTGACTGCAATTACATATATGTTTTAACAGGGAAAACAAGCAAAAATTATTGTGACATCGTCACAATGCCGGGCTGCAATTTTCAATCATATTTTCAAATTATAATTAATTTAATTAATTTATTTAATTTAAAATATGTGCTCTCGATCTCAAATTAATCGTGTCCCTGACTTGCCCTGTACATCATACTTTTCCTGATAACAACTGAGTCATGCCGGCCAACTATGTAAGTCCGTTCTGGGGAAAATTTTTGAATTTAAATCATATAACTTCCTGTCACCTTAAGACCATTATATCTTTCCATATCTGGTCTCGGCTTTCATCTATCTAATTCCGTTCTTGAGATTAATTAAGGAAGGAATTTATAGATCTACAATTTTTTCAAATTGCAGCCCAATAATTTTTTTTATTTTTTCAAATTTGTTTTAATTTAAACCTACGTATCGTGCATAAATCATAGTTTAAATAGCGCTTTCTATCTATTCTATAGTCTAGTCTGCAGGGATCACGCTGCACTACACCAAAATCTCCACTTAGCGATGTTTTTATTAAAGTGGCGATGAAAACCCTAGTTGTCTTATCTCGACGTTCAGCGTAAAATTAAATCACAAAACACGCTTCAGGAAAACAACAGAATGTCAAACTCCTATGGGAGTCCCGTGCACGACACACCCAAGACTCTTAAACTCTTAAACTCAGGCTGACTTACGCGCTATTTTTAGGCCAAATCATTGTACTACAGTCTGTTGCCACGTGTTTAATGTAATTTTATTGTTGAATTGTAAGGCGAAATGGGAGGTTGTTCTGCTGTTAATTGCCGAAACTGTTTGAAATAGTTAACGGGTTTATTATTATTTAATGTGTATTTAACTTAAAAAATAAAATCATTAAGTATATTGCAGACATGTATTTTTTTTTAAATTGAATTTGAGGACTATCATAAAATATAAGTCCCAAAACCTAAAATGAACAGGCTTATTATATGGGAGTTCTGCAATAAGTCTGTTCATTAGTCTTAAGTAACTAAAGTTATGTTTTTGTAATTAAATAATACAGGTAAGAAGCATTTTAAAATTTTAGCATGTTATAGTCGTCCGAAGATGTAGATATTTATCAGAATAACCAACCTGTAAACAGTACAACTTTCTTATACTGTATTTGATAAAAAAAGACATTTCACATTTTTGCCCAGTACAAGTTTTATGAAGTCATTGTTTGTTATAAATATCAACCTAAATAGGTCACGATTATTTAAACGTGGATATGTTGAGATAACCAAAATATAAAAATGCAGTATAATCGAAATAATGATCACACTTTCATTATGACTTCATTAAAAAATGCTAATAATATTAATTACTTAAATTAAGAGTTCAGTAAATATATGTTAAGTATCTATGTTTTTGTAATGCTAAAAATTATTCGTAATTTTCATTTCATTGATAAATTTTAAAAATAATCTTGATACTGCTATGTAAGTAATAGCTTTGTATGTTATGCCAGATTTCCATTGCACTTTCAATATGGTACAATGCTGAGCGTTGGCCTAAAAATGGCCAGTAATATTCTAGAAGCCCTAGACATACCTAGTGATGTTAGACAGAAAAGCAGAAATTGACGTTGAGAACCGAAGGCAGTTTTCATGCAATGCCGCCCAGTGTTTCAAGATTGGAGATTTTTTATCGACTGACAGAAATTTTGGAAAATTTTGTTTTTTTGGGGGGTGACATATTTTCCACTTTGACCTTTTCTCAGTAGATTAAAGCATAAAAATGTTGACATAATAGAACATGTGAAATATCGTAAAAGCATTGTAATCAAATGTGTTTTTTGGAATTACTGTATTCGTTAAAAAATTATTCAAAAATAATTCCTATTGCTAAGTGACAGCTTAACATGTCTGCCAGCACTTACATTAATTAGTAAGTAAAACTGGTGGCAAATAATTGAAGTGATGAAAAAAAAATAGTTGTCGATTTATTAGTTTCTTCAGTTGGTTCAGCGAAATAGTTGTTGATTGTTTAAAATTTTCCAGAGTGACCCCTCGACAGTCTGTATGTTAATTAAATTAACTTTCGATAGTTTTTTTTTTGTTATCGTTATAGTGTCATACACTACCGACCAAATGCATGTCTACTATTTCGAATGAGCACACCTGGCTTCTATGCACCTTGTACAGTACGACGGCTAGATGGCCAAGTGGTCGAAGTGTCAGCCTACCGCTCCGAGGGATCCGGGAAAAAAATTTGAACTTACCGAAAAACCTCAGAAATATGTCGGGCTCCAGCCCTTACCATTCGGTCACCCCATTGTGGATCTGGACGAATCCACAATGAGTAATTAGAAAGGCCCTCTTAGGGTTTGGACAGAGCTGAAAAAGTAACCCATTGTGAATCTGACCATTAGAAGTTAGTAGTTCCGGGTGGATAGGAACTACTACACGGGTTCCCAACTTATGGGTCGCGACCCAGAAGGGGTTCGCGACGGGTTTTCTGTGGGGTCGCCAACTTATGCAGTAAACTAAAACAAAATTTTCACTATAATGCAATATTTATTTTTAATGGTGTCTTAAAGTTTGAATAATTTCATATATTTTTAAAAAATTAAAATAAGTGTAATCTGGGTACGCTGTTCTGTCACAGTTGGTTGAATCACGTGTTGAGAGTTTTGAGAGGAAGAAATTAAATGTTGAGAATGACATGAGGTTGGCGTTAACAAAATCTCACTCGCAAATTTTGAGGCTGGTTAATAATACATGCAATTTCAACCATCTCATTAAATTAATTATTAAACATAATTTAAAATAAATTACTGTATACTAAAAAACTAATTTCATTGTTTTTTAATTACCTTATTAAAAATACCTTTTTCAATTGTATCGGGGTCGCGGGTCACTTGGCTTTTATAAAAAGGGGATCGCTACCCGAAAAAGGTTGGGAACCGTTGAACTACTAGGAACAGTTCCGCATCGAGTGTCGAGACAGTTCAGGCGGAACTACTAACGCGTTCTTTCTTTTTGTTCACGGGTTCATATCGTGACTCTTACTAACGAGTTCTTCATTTTGTACCTTTAAGAATACATCTTTCCGCAGAACAAACTTTCAGGTTTATTGTCAATAAATTATAAAAAAATAATGGATAAATTTTGCTACAAGTGAACCAATAAATAATTTTTAAAGAATTTATTTTTGTTTTGTGTATATACAAAATGAAATTCACGAAATCTAACAATCTGCGAAGTATATTTTATAAAAGGATTCACTAAGTTTATAAAAATAAAACCTTCAATATTTTTTAAAGCAAAATAGACTCCTGAATGATTTTAAACAGTCTGTTTTATTTACAATCGTCAGTCTTACATTGTTTAATAGTTAAATTTCAATAATGAAAACAGAAATCGAAGTAAGTTACTTGTTACAAATAGAAATTGGCCTAAACCGATCTTAACAGAAATGTATTCAATGTTATATTTCAAACTTAGAAGTTATCATCAATAATGCATAATTTTATTTCGTTATATAATATACAGTGACTCTAGTTTACCAGTTTTTTTCTCTTTTTTAATTTTAAAAACGTTCGGGGAGCGGAACCATTACAAAAAAATATACTGGAAAAAAGTTTGAGATTTGCTGCTCTAGAGAAATCAAGATAGAAGTATTTTGGACGGGTTGGTCTCGTAAATGTCAATTCCCATCTCATCCCTCACCTCCCGGTCGCACCATCGTAGGCCTCGCAGAATGCACAATGGAATTGATTAAACACACCCTTTTAGTGCCAATAGGATGAAAAGAGTTTTAAAAAATTGATTAATTAAATTAAATAAAATATATTGTTTTCTAATTTTGTTTTAGCATTAATTTATATTTATATGAAATTAAATTAATTTTTTGTATAAAATTCATAATTATGAAACTACAGTAATAGCAAATAATGACGTAATCCACTGGGAGGCGTTTATGACTGATAACACGTATGATCTGTGCATGTGACAGTTGAAGAATAATTTTACATTTAGTTTTGATTTTGTGCGGATCGACGGAAAGTTATTTTAATTCAACATGGTGCTAGACAAAGATTTAGAAGCTATTTTTAGGTAAGAATTATTATTTTAGAATCATTATTACAATTACTTAATATTTTATAATGTACATTTGCAGGTAAAAAGCGCGCAATTATGTATTTGTATTGAATTTTTTTTATTGTAAAAAATTTATTTTAAACGTAATTATATACGTTTAATTGTACTAATTTATTGCTGATGATTTAGCTTTATTATTTCTAGATAAAAATAAAAAATCGCATAAAAATTTTCCGAAAACTCGATTTAAAAAATAACGTCATCAACCGGGCAACGATCGTGTTTATATCCGCATTTTATTGCAATTATAGCGCACCCTTGCAGGATTTTTATGCAACAAGAGATTCTACAAAAACATGTTTTTTTGCACACGTGTTTTTCTAATGAAATTCAAGAATTGCTCATACTAGATCGTGAAATATAAAACTTGGGTTACAATTGCAATTTTATTGCTAATAAATTGCTAAATTACTAATAAAAGCAATTTAACTCATAAATATTTAAGTAGCGTATGATGAAAAAAAAATCCAAAAAGAAATTTGCTTTATAACTAATATCTGAAATTTTCAAAAGCAATGTTATACAGAGCAAAATCACATGTACATTAAGAACCAACTGAAGAAATTAATGCTAGAATAAGCTATGTTTTAGATTTGCTTGTGACCAATTCTAAATTATGATTTTAATGAATCAACAACAGTTAATAATTTGCTAACTGGGTACAGAGATTATCAGTTAAATAATGACTCAAACTAAACATTTTTGTAAATAATTCAACTTAGTTACTAATTGCTCACATTTTAAAACACCTACATAAGAAATAATCATGTAAAAAGAATAGATTATTAATGAAAATGAATGTCTTAATGAACAGAGTGAAAAATAAATGTTCTCATACACTTCCATTTAACTTTTACAGGCCTATGAATCAAAAAATAAGGATTTTGATCTTTAACGAATGTGATTTATTTTTTTATTCTACACCTGTTTTTTATTCTAGTTAAATGAAATGACTATAAATAAGATGAATAGACTTGCAATATTACATCACAATCAGATTTATGATACTTTAATATGTGTCTACTATATTTGCTCATTTACATTAACAAACTTATAATTTACTTGAAGTATTGATTTGTGTTTAAAAATTTATTGTTTTTTTAATTATTAAAAACGCAATAAACCCTTGTTTGGACTTGGACTAATAACAGTGAAGGTTATCTAGATTTACAAAAGTCCAAGTTAGCAGGGTGCTTTCGCTGTCAACATGGAAAAGGAGAAGATGGATATACAGTACAGTAAGTTGTTATGATCAGCTTTATATAAAAGGTCTACTGAGCTTTAGCAAGTTATACTAATGAATTTATTATTAAAAGAAATGAGCTTAAAAAATTTCATGGCAATACAGTATACAGCAATAAACAGTCTTTAGTAATTTATCAACTACAGTATTGCATAATATTGCAAAGTATTGCAAAGATGGCCAGATATCAAAAACACTTGTTATAATTCTTCAGTTGTCAAGAAATGTTTAATTACTGTACAGTTTGAATAAGCAGAGATTTACTGTATTTATGAAATGCAAATTTAAGTTATTTAATTAAATTTATTATTGTTAAAAACTATTGTGCTGGATTTATTTTGTCATATTTATATAAAAATAAGCAATTACCATTAAACCAGCAATTAATTGTCGTCTAAACAAATGTTTTATTCCATTTTTAAATGGCCATAATCAGGTTTTGATATACATGGAATGTTTAAAAAAAATAAAAGAACTTAAATTCCATTTACATCAAAACCTGATGGCCTTTTAACGGAAAGAACGGAAGAAAACATTTGTTTAGATGACAATTAATTGCTGGTTTAATGGCAATTGCTTATTTTTATTTAATTATAGATCCTGAGTGCAAGTATACAAATATTTATATAACATATAGGAGAAAAATCCAAAGGGTTTCTTCTCTATATGAACCCTTACCAAAGAAAGAAAAAAGAAAGGGTTTTTTGGTACAGTACAATCTGTTTATTTTGATAATTGCTACATATAGGTTGTAATGAAGAATAAAGTACAACTATAAATGTTGGTTTAACCCACCCATGGAAACTCAAAAGCATTAAAAAGCATATTGTAAGCAATTGAGTAAGAACATCAGTAAATTAATGCACATTAATTGAATCTAATTACTTACAGAACATTTACAATATTCAGAATTTTAAAATATTTTTAAACAGACTTTGTAAGAATTGAAAGTAACTAATTAATCACAAAAGAATTTGAAACACCTTTGCTAAAGATTAAAAATGATAAATAGCTTATCTTTCATAAAGTAACTATAATTTGTATAATCATTGTCATTATCAGTCATTTATCAAAATATAAAGTCTGTCTGGTTTAATTTTAACTCAAACTTAAATCAATCGTATGAAATTAATATTATATATGAGTTTAAAAGAATGCAGAATTTTTCTGTTGTAATTACAATATTTTATTGTGATGATGATAGCATTTATATTCAGATAAATAATGAATAATTATTTTACAGTTTTTATTGGATAATAAATAAATATGATTAGGAATATCATTTTATGTAATTAATCTAATTTTACACACATAATTTCACAACTATTTTGATACACTTCTAAATATCACTTTTGGATAGCTGCTGTTATGTTCTATGTATGTATGTCTCTTAATCCGACATTAAGTTCGGTAGACTATCAATACAGCTTTCAGCTATTTTAATATGTATGATATTATAAATGAAGCTAGTATTACAATTTTTAATTTCTGATTTAAATTTGAAGAAAGATTTTATGTATAGTATATAAATTTTACATAAAGGAGTTACAAAGAATATCTTTGTATAATATTTATAATTATCTTCCAAAAAGAATGCTATTATTTTAAATTATTGTAATTATGTTAATTATTATCTGAGAACATTGTAATGTACAGTACATTAAAACATTGGAAAACTTTCCAAGTTTCATATTTTCCCATTACAGTTTCTTAATATGTGCATCTCACGTTGAATGGCATCCAACTGATACTTAAATTTTTTGCTACAAGATATTCATTATCACTTCTCCCACAGATCCACAATTCTACGGCTTCTGCATATTATTCAATGTATTGTTGCATAATGAGTGATTCAGACTTTGTGAACTGAAGAACACAAAGTGACTTCTCTTAGAGTCACCACTTTTGTATATGGCACTTTCCACGAAGTTTGAGTGGAGATGAAAGATGAAATTTAGACAGTTACTCTGTTTATTGGTGTACAGTACATCAGATACTTCTCAGATAATAATTGATACAATTATGGTAATTTAAAATGGTAGCATTCATTCTAGAAGACCCTGCATTTTATATCTGTCTTCTTGATTTCTTAAAACTTGTAGTTAAAATTATTTTTAACTCAAACATTTTAAATCAAAAAATGATTTTGATTACAACATATTCATGGAGAAAATGTATCATATAAGTGTTTTTATGTTTATTTTTTAGTGGCTTTGTGAAATTTTCAATTATTTATATTCTGAATAATGCAGTGTTTTATATTTAGACATTTTCTAAATTCTTATTTTCTAAAAAGATATTTTTTAAAATATTGTGCAATGTAACAGATCTACTGTTTTAGGGGACTCTGGATCAAATTCAAATAAGTCGAAACAACCCAAGAATTTTTTGTGGATAGTCCATCAAGTCCCATCCCTCATCACTGGCCTGGCCATTGTAGGCCTGGATAAACCCATAATGGGCTTGCAAAAGAAGACCCACAGTGTGTATACAGAGTGGAAAAAGTTAAAATATATTATTAAAATTTATATACAGTTTGTGTATATATAATATATATATCTCTTTTTTA